AGCCATTGACAAGTGTGTCAGTACAAGATTTTAGTTTAACCATGATGCAATTGCCCTATGTATCTCAATCAGTTTTCATATGATTGGCCAAGGGTTTAAAAAAAAAAGCTTATTAATAAATATAATAAAATAAAATAGAAATAAATAAATTAAAAATTAATAGACTTTTATATGAAACTTAATATAGAAAATAATAGTAATTAGATATAAATAAAACTTTTTTAAAAAAATTTTTTTAAAAAAAAGCCTTTTATTAAATTGATTAATAATAAGCTATAGATACTAAATAAATCGATTATAAAAAGACTGGATCTATATAAATAAAAATGATATATTATATATAAACAATAAATAAAAAAATAAAATATTTATTAAATACTTATTATATAAGAATTGGTTATAAGAAGCTTACAATAAAGAAATAAAAAAGCTTTTTCAAGAAAACAAAAATAAAATAAAATAAAATATTGAATTAATTGTAAATAATAAAGAAAAATTAAATAATTAAATAAAAGAATAATCAAGCTAATAGAAAATATCTCAAAAATTAATTAAAATATATTTAATTTATATATAAGACTAATAAGAAGAAATTTTTTTTAAAAAAAATAAATTTATGATATTATAAAAAGCAAATTAAAAAAGAAACAAAAAAGTGAATAGTAAAAATACAAAAGAAGATCTGTAATTAAATTTAAAAAAAGATTTGAAATATAAAATATAAAAGATTATAAGTAAAAATAAGCTTAAAGAATCTATAAGAAGAATAAAATAAATCAAATTTATTAGTTCAGAAAACTGATACTATGATAGTTAAAGTAACAATATTAGAAAAAAAAATTAAAAATAAGAACTTAAAAAGAATCTAGTAAAAAAGATGAAATATATAATAAAGTGATTAAATTTTTAATTTCTATTAGAATCCATAAAATGATCTATAATAGTAATCTATAGACCATAATATTAAAGTTAAAAGAATTTTTTTTAAATTTCCAATAGAGTGATAAATCATTTTCAAAGTTATACTTAAGTTAGGTAAACCAAGATGAGAGAATTGGTTAAAGTTTTAGCTTTAACAATATATACTGTATTATGTATATAGTTTACTAATTATTTAATAAAGTATACTTGACAAAGGAAAAAAAATTTTTTATTATTTATTTTTAGATATTTTCAACTTATTTCATTGTTATTTCTTATAATTCATGGTTTGGCAGAATATATATAAAATGCTAATAATGATATATAACTTTAGAAAAATTCTAATCTAAAGATTATTATAAAATAAAATATTATTTTTAGAAACATTCATGCTTACAATAAGTTTATTAGACATATGTATACGCTGCTCAAATGAATATATACTTTTGTATTCTTTGGATTAATAAATCATATGTCTAAGCTGGCTAAATAAATCAAGATAATTTTTTAGAATTCAATAAATAGTGATTTTTTCACTTCAATAATACTACATATTATATATTTTAAAATTTTCTTTTATAAAAATTTTATGATAAAAACATCCGTTATCCTGCATGTATTATGTAGTTGCAAATTTTAGTAGAGCTTTACTTTTTTTTGCGTGGTTTTAGAATTAAATTTTGTTGCCTTAATTAAACTGCCAAAAATTTGTCAAAAGTAAAATTTATATTAAACTTTCTAGTTCCAATATAACATGCATTCAATAATTATCCAATGCATTATTTATTTAATGATAACTCGAAATATAATTTGAGTCTCTAAATTAATTCTAATTGTATTTTTGGTGAATTTCACAATCATCTTTATGTTTGGGCATCAATCTTCTTGAGATGCTCCATAGAACAGGCGAATTCAAGGGTTTTTGTACTACGATACTTTTTTGGTAATTGACAGCCGGAGAATGAACACACGGGGATAGGTGGTGGATATCTACAATTAAACCACGAAAAAGTGTCACCAATTAATAATGCAGAAACCATTATTTCTTATTTACGATCTTACGTTGGTCCCTTTGAGAACTCTATTGGTATCTCGACACCACGGGGCACTGACAATGAACAACCTTTTTGATTGGTCACATAGTGGAATACATTTGGTGTATTATTATTTGATCCATTATCATTATGAACACTATCATTATCATCTTGATCTTTTGATCGTTTCTTGGATGTTTGTTTTTTTAAGAGACGATTTATGGTATTCATCTATCATGGTCAATAGTAAAAGACATTAGAACTTGACAACAAGCAAAAATACTATTAGTATAAAATTAAATTTGAACAAATACCTTATCTTCCTCGGCACGTTGAATACTTTGATGTTTTCTACGCCGCGCAATTTCTGATTTTTTAAGTTGGATTTCTTCTTCTGTCAGTTGTTTCTTCTTCATTGGCTCTAACAAAATAAAATGTTCTTCAATCAATGCTATTTGATCAATATTGTAAATAAAGATAATCAATACCCATTGGAAGTTGAAGCAAGTCCTGATCATAACTTTCGTTAAGTTTTGCTCTCTGTCGTTTAGTGAGTATACGATTCTCCGTAGTAGCTGATAACTCCACGGTTCTAGAATAAAATGTTTTCCATGAGACGCGGAGTTATAAAACGTGAATTAAATTGCATAATATAGCAAAGTTAACAAATACCTGTCTGTTGACCAAGAACAAATTAAATTATGTTGTATATGTTTAGTTTGACATTTTAGATAAGAGTATAAATAACGCATACTTCTCTTTTTCGAGACATCACTAGCTCGTGGTTCTTCGTTTTGTCTTTGCTTTGATTGTTTCGGTTCGGGTGGAGTTTTCGGCGTTGCTTTGCCTCTCGTTCTTGTTTGAACAAATTCTTCATAATCGCTTTGTTCCTCCTCGCTTTCCTCATTAAACTCGTCCTCGTCGTCAAGAGGTGTCGCGTCCTCGTCGTCCATTTCTTCATCTTCAACCTCATCTTCAGCTTGTTCGCTTTCTTCTTCTACTTCAACCTCTTCCTCCTCCTCCTTTAATAAGTCTTCTAATTCTTCGTCTTCACTTTGACAGGTATCTTCTGATTTAGTCGTCTCTTCTTCCATTTCGAGGCAAATCGCTTACGTCAGAGCTGAGATAAATCTTTTGTTAGACCTTGATGAGGTCATCTTCATATATGTTTTCAAAGAAATGTTTCAAGTTTTCTCAATCGCAATTTTTGTTATCACAGATTTTATTGTATTTAAATTAAGACCTGAATAAGAAGTAGCACAACATATTATATAAACAATAGTTATCAGGAGATCTCTCATTATTTGAAGTGAAACCATATATAGTCATCTCTTTCCAAGTACAGTAAGTAGTGCTTTCGCTCCGTGATATAGTATATATACTATATAAGTCTTTTGACAAATTTGGACTAGGAGGGTTTTTACCCAAAGTCCATTACCGAGTCTTTAAGGTCAAACTTAAAGGTTATTATAAGTTAGAAAAGTTTAGCTATAGTATGTATCATGTTGCTCAAATGAAAATGTACTTATTTATGTTTTCAATTGATTAATAAATATCTAACCTAACTATGAGTATTACAAGTCTTTTGGATAAATTTTTGTATTACAAAGAATCTTATAAAGTTTCTAACTAGATTAATGTAAGTTAATATTTTTTTAGATATCAATAGAAGCTTTACAAGAAATAACTTAAATTAATAAATCTATTCAAATTCAAATATTTATAAAACCTAGAGAAATATTTAAAATTTATTGACTATATAGAAAAAAACCATATTTTATTATAGTAATAAATATACTTCAATAATTTTTTTTTTTTTATCCTTTATCAGGTTAGTTACTATATGTATACTTTATAAACATTTATAACCTATACATATAAAATAAGGTATTAAAGCTAATTCTCTAACTAACTTACTTATCTTAATTGTATTACCTATCTAAGTATAACTTCAGAAAGGATTTATCACTTTATTAGTAATTCAAATAAAGACTCTTTTAACTTCTAACATTATTGCCTACAAGTTACCATTGCAGATCACTCATTCGAGTTCTAATAAAGATCAAAACCCAATCATTTTATTCCATACTTCATATTATTAATAAAAAATTTTTTTAATTTCTTATCTTTAATTTTTTTTTTCTTTTTATATTATTTTTTTTAATAGATTTTCTATATTCTTGATTTTAATTTTTGATCACAAGGATATATTGATCTTTTTATATTGTCACTTTTGGGAATTTATAACATTTGTTTTCACTTAATCACTTTCTCACATCTGACATTTCATATTTTCTTTTAGAAATAATTATATACTTTTTTCTGTATTTTTATTATCTACCTTTTTGCTTCTTTTTCAACTTTCTTACTGCAATATTTAAAATCTATTATTTTTATAATTAGATCTTTTTTTATTAGTTCTATACAAAAGCTGGATATATTCTAATTAATTTTTGAAAATTTTTTACCAATTTTACTATTTGTTTATCAACTTTTCCTATTTGTATTCTATTATCTATTATTATATTTAACTCTTTTTTTTTAAATTCCCTTTTCATATCTTTTAAGAGCTTTTTGAATTCTTTTAAGACTTCTTTTATTCTTTTTTACCATATCTCATTTTATTGAATCTTATAAGTTAAGTATTCTAATAAGTGTTTTATTGTTTTCTCTTCCTGATCACATATAATATATTTTATTGGCTTATAAATATTCAATCTTCTTATAATCTGCTTAGTTAATGTTAATAGCTTATTATTGATCAACTTGACAAAAAAACTTTTGTTTTATGAGCTCTTAAAGAAGATATTTTATATATATCTATTTTTAAATTGTGTTTATATTAGGTTACATATGTATCTATACTGGTATTAGATTTGTCAGTTCCATTTTTTCTTGATTCTATCTTAAGTTGTTTATTAATAGACTATTACTTTATTATTTATTTTTTAATAACTTATCTTTAAGGGCATTCAGTACTGTATCTTGACATTTGATTTCTATGATACTGTAATCTTGGATAAAACAAGATTTTTTCATTTTATCCTTGAAAATTTTAATCTTTCTTTGATATAAACATTTGATTCTTCATTATACCTAATGTTAGAATACACTTTGACCTTGATAAGCTTGAGATCTAGTTTTTTTTTTTATAAAATCCAATATTCATATCTATAGAAACCAGTTTTATTTTTTTAACTATTTTTTATAAATTATTTTAAGATTTTCCTTTTCTATAATTTTTCACTTTAAGATATATGCTTAATTATCTGTATGAATTTTGATCTTACCATCTTTAGAACTACTAGTAGTATGATTATTATTGCTATTAATTTTGTCTTAATAGATAAATATCAATCAGCTACTTCAGTTTAATCTTACTTTCTCTTTCTGTCTTCTCTATTTATATTTATGCAATAATATACTTCAATAATGTTATTATTTTATTTATTTTTTTTTTATAAGAACTTGACAAGCTGTTTTATTCAAGAAAATTTAAACTTTTTCCTGTCAAGCAATTTGTCAGACTATATTATTTAAAAAACAAGAAAAAAAACACTTTAGTAAAATCAGTTGTTTCAGCTGTCTGAAGTTGATACAATCTTATAGAGCATAGTATACTAATGTACTACTGTTGTTTAGCTCTATAGAAAGAAAAAAAAGGGTAAAAATAGTTTACCACAATTGTGTGAATACATGTATTCAAATACCTAAATTAACTAAAACCTGAAAAAAGTAGTTAACCTAAAAAAATTTGTTCCATGATCTATAAGATAATGCAAAAAGAAAAAGATGGATATGTTTCATGAATATGTATTCCTGAGTTTTCTATTGTCATCATGATTCAATGTGTTCAAAAAGAAGCTTAAGGCTAAGGAAATGTTTACTATATAATTTATACAGGGAAAAGAAACTTTTACTTAAGTCCATACTATCCTGAATCTTTATAAGATATACTTATCCTTAATGCACTCAGAGTGGAGATATTGGTATGGTTCTCCAATATCACCTTGCAATAACTTCTAATAATATTTATATGCCAACTCATTGGTTATTTTCAGGTAGTGTTTATAAAATTTTCAATTTAATAATTAATATCACTTAATTTAACTTTATCTAAGGTTGTCTTGGTATTGTGGAAAACTCTTCCATGTCTCTTTGGTGAAATTACTCTTCAGCCAAGTTCTAACTATATACAGGAGTGAACTATTCTTGCTGAAAAAGAAGAAGAATTCTTTAGGATGGCCATCTGTACAGTCCATTTGATGAAATTGGTGGATAAAAACTTCACTTGATGTGATCTAGGTGATTATTATATCTTCCAAGGTGGAAGAGATATTATCTCTAAAGGAGAAAGAGTTGAAGATAATGGCATATATATAGCTGTGTAAATCGATTCAATGCAGTATATTCTATCTTACTGTGGATCTTTTTTACTCCAATGTAGTAAAGTCAAGAAATATTTATTAAGACTCTATATTCTAAGAGTTGAGTTAAATAGTTCACTAGCTATAAATTTCTTTTTCTTTACAACTGATTCACCAAGTGGTTGCAGTTTCAAAAATCAGGTTTATGTGATTACAATTCAAAAATTGTATTCATTGAATTAAGAGTGATAATATTAAGAGAATATATGTGAGGCACATGTATTGTCTTGTTTATTTCTGACTACTGTATGACATTATTTAACTCCAGCCCTTCAGCCAATGAAATTCTAGCAAGTCAAATGTAACCAAAAATTCAGAATTAAAAGAGATAAACAAAATTTCAGAAATAAAATTGAAAATTAATTATATACAAAAGAAGGCTTGGGATCTAGTGAATTTCTTAGGAGAACAAGATTACTGTGCATGGTATAGCTAGGGATCACAACAAATCGAATTGAATCAAATCAGTTTTTATTTGATCTAATTCATATCTGAACAGATTTATTTTTATTTGATCCATATTTGTTCAGTTAATCCGATAGTTTTTTTTAATCATGTTTTTTTTTTATTTTTTATTTTATTTTTTTTTATTTGTTTTTCTTTATTTAATGTTTACTTGCTATCTTTAAGGTTTTTTTTTTTTAGTCCAACTAACAGGACAAATCTTTATTGAGGAATCAGTAGTATATTTTTTAGATTATATGAGCAATTTATATAACCTTAATTTTTAACTATCTATCCTAGCTAGTTTCACCAATTTTACCACATAGTGATACTATTTTTGTCAGTTGCCCTGCTCTGCCTGGGACTATTAGCATAGTAAAGTTTCGCTATAGACTTCTTTTTTATTAATCTTTAAGAGACTGTATTGTGTATTTCTTAGTAGAGTTTTGTTTACCACTTGATGATCATAGGTACTATAGACGATTCCTGCCATGTTTGGATCCTTCACAGGCTAGTTAAAACTTAGATGGTGCAAATCTCTGGTAATGTTCTTGATATCCAGGCAATTCAATAGTATCACGTAATTGGGTGGCATATAGCCTTCCATTGCCTTATTTTTAATCACTCTTGCAAGTTGGCCTTATAGGAGTTTTTCTTGGTTACTTCGTAATAGATTGCTCCTTCCATTAGATTGGTTATCTTGGTGATTGTTTCTGAATTTCTTCTCTCAGGGTCTACTTCTGCAGGTTTTTCAATGTGGCGCTAATGCTAACCACCAGCCTCCGCAATGGCTGTCCTCTTTTGGATAGCCATTAGTTTCGTGATCATAGAAATCTCCCATTAATTATTGTTATGACCCATTACATTTTTGATAGGTACAAATGACCAAAGTCTTCCTTATCTTCCAAAGAGTATAGTTTTGACAAGAGATAGATGTTCTTCCCATATTCATTAAGAGACATAAGTTGATCGGTATTTTTCCTTGGCTTGTCTTGGATCCTTACATATTCTAGGTGACAGGTTTATCGAAGATTTCCTTAGCACTAAAACTAGTCAAAACATGGATGACCTGAATTTTATAT